TCCTTGGACAGCTAAGCGCCTCTCAGAAGACCAATCACCTCTGATAGCTCTTCGATTTTGCATTTCCATGATCAGACACTGTTCAAAAATATTTTTAAAAAAATAATTATTCTGAGACCAGCCGTTGGCATAATGGCTATGTCGCTGGACTCCCATGTAGTTGATGGTGGTTCGAGTCCTGGACCTGGTGGCTTAAACTCGCACTGGGCACATGTGCATGCATGCCCAAGATCTTAAGAGGAGAATAAAGGAAAAGGGATAGTGGTGTGACCATCCCCCCTGGGGGGGTGATTTCTCACTTTCTGTCTCTTTTTCTGGCAAGTCACGTGCCCTATAGCATAAACCTCTCTCATATATATATATATATATATATATAATTTCAAAGACAATTCACTCCATAGGGAAGATGAGACTATAGATATTTGCATATTTACAAAGGCCTCACTGTCCAGAGATGTCCATACTCCCATGGGAATAGTCCCCTTGTCCACCATCCCAAAACAATACTACCCTATACCCCAACAGGGTATTTTCTCTCCTTCATGTTGCTACTGCTGATTCCTGAACTATTAATAAACTGCAGCCCTTCCATTTTCTCATCATCATTGATGTTTTCTGCTCTTCCTCCCAGAAGCTATGCTAAAATGAACAGAAATTGGATCTCCTACAAAGGGCATCCTCTGTACCTCTGTGGAAGTAAGTAATTAGAATATACTTCCAATTATGAATATTTTATGGATAAGGAATTAGGGGCTGATATCACCTAGACAGGCTGAACTGAGGGATGGAGTCAGAATCTCCAGGATTATTTTTAATCTCAAAGTAGTCTATGACCTGACGACAGTGAATTGTTGCTCGTAGCCAGAGAAATGAATCAGTATTAGAATTGTTGGATAAGGAACCAGCAGTTAGCGTAATGGTTATGTCACTGGACTCCCACGTAGTCAACCATGGTTCACGTCCCAGACCCGGTGGTTTAAAACTCACGCCGGGCACGTGTGTATGTGTGCCCAAGATCTCGAGAGGAGAATGGAGGAGAATGGATTGTGGCATGACCATCCCCTCTGGGGGGTGATTTCTCGCTTTCTGTCTCTCTGTCTCTCTCTGTCTGTCTGGCAAGCGCACACACCCTATAGTGAAAAGCCTCTCCAAAAAAATAAAATAAAATAAAGTAAAATAAAATAAAATAAAATAAAATAAAATAAAATAAAATAAAATAAAATAAAATATAAAAAAGAATTGTTGGATGAACTCACATGATGATTAATTCTCTGGAACATTTGGTATTATTTTTACCATCTTACCTTCTGACATGTATATGACCTATTTTCAACCCTGAGAGTAGTAAAATATACTTTTTTATTAAAGGTTTTTGCCAGGGACCAGTGGGTGGTGTGGTTGTTAAGGCACTGGTTGCTCCCACATGGCCAACCATGGTTTGAGTTCTGGACCTGGTGGCTTGTTTCTCACCTTCTCTGTGTGTGTGTGTGTGTGTCTGGTCAAACTTTAAAAATAAATGAATGAATAAAGTTAAATAATTCTTTTTTTAAAAAAAAGTTTTTTGCCATAAGGCATGTGCACTCACCAAAGAGAGACAAACAGAGAGAGGGAAAGTGAGAAATAGCCCCCCCCCCAAAAGGGGAATGGCCACACTGCAGTCTCTTTTCCTCCAAGGATTTTGGGCACACAACAAACACATGACCGTAATGACCATTAAGTCACCAGGTCTAGGACTTGAACTATAGTTGGCCATGTGGAAGTCCAGTGCCTTAACCACTATGCCACTCATAGGCCCCAGTAAAACACACTTTTATTTTATTCTTTACAGCAAAATCTTTTAATTTATAATCTTATTTAGGAGAAGAAAAACTACATGAAAACAGATTTCAATGATCTGGTTTTATTTACTATGTTAATATTATTCTGATAATAAATTAATATGTACTGGGACCAGCAGTTGGCGTAATGGTTATGTCACTGAACTCCCATGTAGTTGACCACAGTTTGTCTCGGACCTGGTGGCTTAAACTCACACCAGGTAAGTGTGCATGTGTGCCTAAGATCCCGAGATGAGATTGGAGGAGAAGGGATTATGGTGTGGCCATTCCCTCGGGGGGGGGGTGATTTCTCATTTTCTGTCTCTCTGTCTCTTTCTGTCTTTCTGGTGAGCTCATGCACTCTATAGCAAAAGCCTCTCCAAATAATAATAATAATATGTACTGTTAACCAAAATGTCAGCTTCATTCCAAGAAAAATGTTCCTTAATGTGTACACTAAAGCCTATACAGAATCCTTTAAATAGCTGACTTTATAATTTTCGAACTCAGAAGTATGATAACATCAAGTTAAATGATAATGGAGTCTCTTTCATTATGACTCATGATTTAGTTTACAAAGGTTTCCATTGCCATTTCAGTTCCTGTAAATTAGAAAAACAAGCTGAGAAATCACCTGATCCAATCTTCTATTTGTCAGATAAAAATCGACTGACTTTGCCAAAGATTATAGAGATGAGACAGTACATGGATTACAGACAGTTCAGGAGGCTCCAGAAATATCTCGGGCTAATAAATAAGGCACACATATCACACAGAACTCTAGTCATATCTGAAAGGTATGGTCCTTCGTGCTTCTGCTGGGGTTCAGACAGACTTATCGCAGCACATTGCCCATCACTGATTGCCAGTGCCATTTTACTTCTTTTCTGGGATGTCTGAACTTGGGCAGCTCTTCTTCCTGTTCTTCTGTAGTCATAGACTACATCAGAGGTGTCTGTACTTGTTTGAAATTCATTATCAGTGGAGAGCTAATATGTTAATAATACCTAGAGAACCATTAGCATGAGACTAGAGTTCATTTCTCTTTGTAGCTCATTCCCACATCTGAACACTTTGGTTCTGCAAAGCAGTTGTGGGTTATGTCTGAGGGAGGCATCAGTGTCCCAAACAGCAATGAGATTTCTCACTATATCAAAACTATGCTGTATAATGAATAAGTACTAGCAGTACACAGTTTCTGCTGATTTATATCTCATCCTAATGGCTGCACAATGCCATGCTGCTGGGAGGTAAAAACAAAAAACAAACCCCCCCCCAAAAAAAACCCTAAGGGCTACATTTTATTTTAAACCTCCAGTGAGTGTGTGCAGAAATGTATTAATTGGTAGCAGAACATTCACATTTTAGCAAGCTATTTTTCTCTAAATTGCAGCCATTACCAAAAACATCCTGCTGGACATCAGTACATTTGAAAAACTTTATATACAGACAACAGACCTGTGCACATGAAAGAAATTTTCAAAGTTTCATGTGAGTGATTCTAAACTCTTTATCTTTTTTTTTTTCTTTTTGGAGAGGTTTTTTTCTATAGGGTATGTGCACTCGCCAGAAAGACAGAGAGAGACATAGAGACAGAAAGCGAGAAATCACCCCCCGAGGGGATGGTCATGCCACAGTCCCTTCTCCTCCATTCCCCTCTCAGGATCTTGGGCATGCATGCACACGCACCCGGCTTGAGTTTCAGCCACTGGGTCTGGGACTTGAACGGTGGTTGACTTCATGGGAGTCCAGCAACATAGCCATTACACTAACTGCTGGTCCCAGAGTGATTCTAATCTCATATAATTCTCAGCACTGCAGCAAAGACTGACCATCTATCTTTGTATATTTATTTTTCTCAGGACAACATTTCTCTACAAGAGTGCACATCTGGTTTGGTTTTGTTATACAGGCTTATTAGATATACCCTCAAGGGTGTACTTATTCAGAACAGAACTCTAATTTCTAAGCACTTTCTGTGGTACATGCTTTAACCTATGAAGAATATGACACAAGGTGACATGCTGAAAGCACTGCCCAGCCATGAGGACCTGACATGAACCCGTATCTGGAAAGCAGTTTCACTAGCCTTATTAAAGAACAACCAAAACCTAGATATGGAACTCTCTACTCTAAGCTAGTAAAACCATGCAAGCATTTCATGTACCACATTGGCAGGCTTTGCTTCTCTTCCTGGTCCCAGTGTTACTTTTTTGACTGTCTTTCTCTGATCTTGTCCTAAAGTTCAAGGAACATAGAGAATATAAACTCCATAGTCTCTGGTCATTTCTGTAGGACTTTTCTTTCTTACTCATTAAATTTCTGTTCTGGAGATACTGTGACCTCACTGTATTTCCTTTTAATACCATGACAAGCTCTGTGAGAGCTGAAGTTGCATGTTGAACAGGACACAAACATTCTAATACTGTCTGACAGGACCAAGGAGACTGGCATGGTATGGGAACTAGAAATGCAGTACTGACAAAGGACAATCATTTTCTCAAGTTTAAAACAGCAAAGTTATTGTCAAATTTCAAAGTGAGGGCTAATTTTAATCATCTTAATAACCAAGTCAAAAATACAATCTCCATTTTATTAAATCCTAATTACTGAGGTAGACAATGCTGTTTTCAGATATTCAAATAATTAGTCTGAAGTATGAAAACAATGGAATGAAGGGAAGAAAGTACTGATTTGAAGTTATCTTCCTTTAAATTCAAATGGAGAATTAAGAACACTCCAATTCAAAGTTCTAAGCATGAGGGGACCAGCAGGTGGTGTGGTGGTTAAGGTGCTGGACACTCCCACATGGCCAACCATGGTTTGAGTCCTGGACCTGGAGTCTTGCTCTCTCTCTCTCTCTGCATGTGTGTCTCTCTCTGGTCAAATTCAAATAAATGAATGAGTAAATAAAATAAAATAATTATTTAAAAAAAGTTCTAAGCATCAAATCCAGGTGTGTCATGTTATGAACTCACTTTTCTATTTGAAGATGAATTCAGCAGTTGATGAAAAGAATCCACACTGTAATAGAACAGTAAACCACAACGTGGTTGTCCCAGGGAAAAAGCCAGTAATATCATACTTGCTGTTCCCATCCTGGCTCATTCCCAGCTATTTAAAATCTGGATTCTTTTTTTTTTTTTTTAAATCTGGATTCTTGAAGGCTTCTTCAGCATTTAACTATTCTTTGCTGACTGAAGGGGCTGGGACTGATTCTCCACACATAAACTGATCTTTGTCATAAATCACTTTCATAATGAGAAAGCAGCTAGGACATATTGCCACATCTTCCCCATTCTCTAAATCTTCCTTGGTGATGGAGAAGTTGTCCCCACAAGGGCAGCAGTAGAAGCACATCTCTGAATCCTCATTGTACTGGATGTCCTCGATTTCCACCTCCTTGTGAAACATGGTCATGGTCACTGGGATTGGCAAAGGTCTGACACCGCTGCTGCCCAGAACCACCCTCCTGAGTCTAACTTTGTTGCCGCCAGCCTGGCCTGGCCCCAGCCTAGTGTGGACCTGACCCCGAGGATCCTTGGTGTACCGGGCCTGGCCAAAAAACACTTTAAAATGATTTCTTGTCACTGACTCCTCAGACTTTGAGTAAACACTCTCCTTGAGCCTCTTTGTTTATAATGCAATGTGGTCATTTGCAGAGGTTCTGTAAAATTGGTCTGTAGCGTGGACAGGTGGTGTGGTGGCTGGGGTGCTGAACTCCCACATGGCCAACCACAGTTCAAGACCTGGCCCTGGTGGCTTGCTTGCTGGTCAGACTAGAGGGATGATGATGATAATAATAAATATTATTATTATTTATTAAGTTAGATAAATACATCTTTCAAATGAAAGAACTGGATTCCATTTTTATCAAACTATAGGTGGAAAAATTTATTTAGCAACCAAACTCATGACTGAAGTATCAAAGACACAGTAATTAGTGTGAATCAACAGCCCTCTGAATGGGAAAATATTTTTGTTTAATTATGCATCAGATAAGGGTCTGATAAGCAGAATACACAAGGAACTCAAGCTGCTGTTTGGAAAAAAGATGATCAACCCTATTGAAAGATGGGAGAAGTTGAAAAAAAAAACACTCTTTAAAGATGACATATGAATAGCCAAAAGGCATATTAAAAAATGCTCCATATCCCTCATTGTAAGGGAAATGCAGATCAAAACAACATTGAGATACCACCTAATCCCAGTCAGAATGTCTAAGATTAAAAAAACAAAAAATGATAAGTGTTGGCGGGGGTGTGGTGAAAGGGGAAATCTTTTACACTGCTGGTATGAATATAAATTGGTCCAGCCCCTGTAGAGAACAATTTGGAGATTCCTCAAAAATCTACAAATAGAGGGAACCAGCAGTTAGCGTAATGGCTATGTCGCTGGACTCCCACGTAGTCGACCGTGGTTCGTGTCCCGGACCCGGTGGCTTAAAACTCACGCCGGGCGCCCAAGATCCCGAGAGGAGAATGGAGGAGAAGGGATTGCGGCGTGACCATCGCCCCTGGGGGGTGATTTCTCGCTTTCTGTCTCTATGTCTCTCTGTCTGTCTGGCGAGCGCACGCGCCCTACAGTGAAACTCTCTCCAAAAAAAAAAAAAAAAATCTACAAATAGAACTACCATATGACCCAGCAATCCCACTCCTCGGTATCTACCCAAAGGACAGAAGAATTCTTAATTGGAAAAGTGCTTGCACATTGATGTTTATTGCGGCACTATTCACTATTGCTAAGACATGGAACCAACCCAAATGCCCCCGTACGGATGAATAGATTGAGAAATTGTGGCACATATACTCTATGGAATACTATTCAGTCATAAAAAAAAAAATTTAAAAAAACCCTGGCTTTTGAAAAAAAAAGTGGAAGAATATGGAAGATTTACTGCTGAGTGAAGCAAGCTAGGTTATGAAGAAGAGACACTGTATGTCCCCACTTAATATATACCGAGGGTCTTCACTCTATAACTGAAACTGATTGACCTAAGGTTGTACAAACACAAGAGATGGGGGTTAGTGCCAGAAGTGGAGTGTGTGGAGAAGAGGGACATAAAGAAGGACATTTGGAGGAGGGATATGGAGACAGAGCATTGATGGGATGGGGAGGTATGGTGTTATTGGTGGAAGATATTCTGATCAACTGGACTGGGGAGAAATGTTCACATATTGAAATGTTCACTTTGTAAGCTAAATAACATGATTGAATGTATATAAAAAATTAAAATAAAAAAGTGGGAAAAAAATGATAGTATTTAATGAAAACGAATAGTAACATGAAAAAAATACATTTAATTGACACAAAAATGAAAAATTATTTGCTGATGATAATGAATATTGTAATGTCTATGTCTTGACTGATATGCACTGTATTCATGCTGGGAAAAGCCATGTTGTACACTCTAAAGAGGTATAGTGATTAAGCGTAAATAATAAATAAATTTTTTTAAAAAAAAGGAATTGTATGATCAGACCAGTGTAAGAATAAAATTAAACTATCCTGTCTTATGAAGATAAAATCTAACCTTTGCCCCTTTCACTTTTGTACTAAAGCTGATGCTGCTGAAGTTGTGGAAGCCCGGGGCAATTCACTAACACTCTGTAGGAAGCCCAGACCCTTGTAAAACTTCCCCCCTTCTGTTAACCCCAGAAACTCTGACCAAATGCCTCTGCAAACCTGACCAAATGGCTACAACTGTAAAGAGAAACATTTTTGTCCTGCTTGAGCAAGTAAAACTTCAAGGACGCCATAATATTACCCTAGAAGCCCCTTATCTTACTTCCTCATTCTTTCCTCCCCTCACCCCATGGCTGTGTCTATATAACCTGAATGCTCCTTTGTTCGGGACTTCACTCATAATCGTGTCTTGTATGACTGAGAGTGGAGTCCTAGCGCGCTAGCAATAAAGCCTCTTGTATTTTACATCAAGATTCGACTTTGTGGTTGATTGGGGTTGCCATCGCCGTAACACTCCTTGGATAAGGAGGTTCAGCCAGCTGCCGGCTAAAACCTTTCACCAGCTGTTCATTATAAAGTTGTATCATTAGTATTTTTGTGAGTGAGCTGCTTTACTTCTTTGTATATTCTGGTTTCAATGCTGTATCTATGGTATTTTTATAAATAATTTTTATTTTGTTTCATTTTAATTAAACATTAAACTTTTTCATGTGCTGTTAAAAAAAATGAAAAAAAATCCTCATATGTGACATACCCTTTAGGAGAGAACAAGGTTGAGCTTCCTCTGTAGCATCAACAGCCACACAGCACTCCCAGGGAACAGTCTGGAACATGTTCTGTGATTTATAGCTTTTGGGGAAGGAAGATCTCACACATCAAGTCAGGAAACTTAGCAGACTTGGGGAGTTAAGGAGAGAGAAAGTCACCTAAATGTGTAGATAGTATAGGTACATGCTAGGAGTGGAATCTTGGATTGAGTTTCTCCAAATGTGGCATAAAAAAAATCAAACTAGAAGCCAGCAGATGGTATAACAGTTACATAACAGGACTCCCACATGGCCAACAGCAGTTCCAGCCTGGACCAAGCAGCTTGAAACTCACACCTAATACACATAAGTATGTACCCAAGATCCCCGGAGGAGAATGAAGAAGGGATTGCAGTGTGGCCATCCTCCTAGGATGTGTGGGGGGTGATTTCTCATTCTGTCTCAGTGTCTCTGTCTATCTCTCTCTCTCCAGTAAGTGCATGTTGTGGTTGGGGTGATGAACTCCCACATGGCCAACCACAGTTCAATTCCTGGCCCTAACGCAAAAACCTCTAAGAAAAAAAAAATTAACTAGAGTAATAATAACAGAACCCTCTAGAGAGACTGAGGCTAGTGAAAGCATAGTCCTAGATCTCTGTTAACCACCTGGCACTTTTGAGTAACTAAAGAGTTTAAGGCACTGTAAGCACAGTGGAATTTACTTTCAACAGACTCCTATTGAGAAAGTCTGAAAGCATGCTTCTAGGAAATAACACAGGGCTGACCCAAAAGCACAGCATTTAAGCACCATGCATAGGGAGCTGGATCCCACCTGGCTAACCTCAATTTAAGTCCAACATCCAGTTACTTGAATAACATGCCAGGCGCATGTGTGTGCATATGCATTCTAAAATCTTGATGGGATAGAGAAATGGAGGAAAAAGGATGGCAGTGATCACACCCTCGAAATGTTCTCACATGTACTGGGTGAGGGAAAAATCACCCACTCTAGAGTAAAACAGATAAATTCATGAAAATGTATTCACATAGTGGGATGTTATGCAGAAGTAAGAATAAACTATCTGTAGCAACATGGATAAGTCTAGTTGATTTAATACTGAATAAGGGTACTTGTGTGATTCCATTTGCACATTTACTGTGATTCCTTACAAAGCAAAGCAAACTTTATTTGGGGGGAGGGTATTACAATGGAGTTTTTTTTTTTTTTGAGAGATTTTCACTGTAGGGCGCGTGCGCTCACCAGACAGACAGAGAGAGACATAGAGACAGAAAGCGAGAAATCACCCCCCAGGGGGGAAGGTCACGCTGCAATCCCTTCTCCATTCTCCTCTCGGGATCTTGGGCACGCACGCACACGCGCCCGGCATGAATTTTAAGCCACCGGGTCCGGGACCCGAACCGCGGTCGACTACGTGGGAGTCCAGCGACATAGCCATTACGCTAACTGCTGGTTCCCTACAATGGAATTTTGAGAAGGGTTCCAGAGAGACCAGACTCAAGTCCAACTCCAACAAGGACAAGTAGGTACTTTAAAGCCAAAGAGCAAAGGTGGCAGCAAGTGGCATGGTAGTTAAGGCACTGGACTCCCACATCGTTGACCATGGTTTGAGTCCAGGACTAGACAGCTTGAAAATCAAACCAGGTGCATGTGCGAGTATGCCCAAAGTCCCAGGAGGAAGATGGAGAACGGATTGTGGAATGGTCATCCCCCTTGGGGGGTGATTTCTCACTTTCCCTCTGTTTCTCATTTTCCTTCTCCAGCAAGAACAAACAGTCTATGGAAAAAGAAAAAAAAGAATTGGGGAAGACTGGTGGATGGAAAATTACTAAAAAACAAGGATAAAGAAAAAATTTTGCTAAACCAATTCAACAGATTTCTTGCTAAAGGCAGACTAGGATAATAAGATATCAAGGAGGGAATGAGAAATTTGATTAGATATCAAGGATGGTCAGGTGTTAAGGGGGGTTGCTAAACTGTCTTATGAAGATTCTTCCTGGACGCTGCAGACCCGTGACCCGGAGCAGCTCAGAGCAGTGAACTCTTCAAGTCTGCAATAAAAAATGGCCTCCAATAAAACTACATTGCAAAAAATGGGTAAGAAACAGAATGGAAAGAGTAAAAAAGTTGAAGAGGCAGAACCTGAAGAATTTGTGGTGGAAAAAGTACTGGATCGACGCGTAGTGAAT